ACTAGTAAGGCACTTGTTACTACTAGTAAGGCACTTGTTACTACTAGCTTCCTAGTAGCGCGAATGCTTTGTATGAGAATCTTCGGCACCTTTGGGCTGGATCGCCAATGATCAAGCCGACGTGTTGGGGTCATCGATTTTACCAGATGCAAGTCGGACATGGCCAAAGATGCCATGGTCAAAGGCTTCAGACTTGGCCAATTCAGACTTGGAGATGTATTGGCGGAGCGGAGGATAGAGCCATGCCTGGCCATGGCTGGCCACACCTGAAAAGACAGAAACGACACTGAAAAGGGGAGCTTAGAATAGTGCTGAAAGCACATGTCTTCCGTACCGAGCGTCACATCACTATAGTGTTGGAACTGGTTCTCGAGCTGATTTGGCTGCATGATCAAAAAGAAGTGTTTGGTGTGGCACACTTGTGAAACGAACAACCAGAACAGTTCACAACAATCCACGGCATCATCGGTGTGGATACAGTATCTCATAGCGTCTTCGTATCTCTTTGAGGATCGCAGGTCGGAATAATGTAGACTACCGACTGTTAATAAAACTCTCCGGTTTTTTAAACAGTCACATGTTTGTGCCTCGGCCGACTTCACACCTGGCAATCGGAGCTGCAAAGTCTCAGCTTACACCAACAGAGTCATGAGAATCCATGAAGTAGATGAACAGTCGTTCATTCTCTATCATTCTGAATCATTCTCTATGCTTCGGTTCATTCTGGTGGACACGAGTGCACACTATGGACACTCCATCTAGTGGCACAGAAGTCACAAAACACTTCTTCTCGTACGACTCCTACGACGATGTTATATGGCAGAAGGCCGCAAGGAGTACGTGTGGTACCCGGCGGAAGACAAAGAAGAGTGGCGCTTGTGTCAGCTGCTGAGCAGGACACAGACCGTTTTGCCAGACAAGTCTCAGACTGCACGAGTCCACTGTTAGAGGTGTCTGGGACTACAGAACATTTAAGATATTTTAAGATCATTTAAGTCTATTTCCCCTGGCAAGGTTCTTGCAAGGATGACGTTTGAATTCATGCCGCGGAGTGCCGCTGTTGCATCCGATTTCAATCAGCAGCTACAGATCCCTGTAGTGCTTGTTGTAATCAAAACCCATCATTGGCCTGGGGGCATGAATGGCTATGACTATGAGGTTGAGGTGTTCATGAGGGATGGCGCTTCAGTTTTCCAACGTCTTCTGTGATTAGAACATGTGATTCACCGGACTATATAAGCCAAGTAATGCAGTCCATCCTTGCACACCGCTCGTGCCAGGACACCTGGAGGCGGCACCAGTCTACGCTTCAATGAGAAGGAGTGCATGTTTTCTCGGTCTGTTGAGTGAAGACAAGCACAAGTGACCTCTTAACTGAGGCATTTTGTTCAAGTGAAAAGAAGCGGTTCGCGCTTTGTCGATGAGGGTTATGAGCCCAAAGTCGACGTTTTTTTAACTTCCAGCCATGGACCGAGCCCACTCGCTCCCTCCGACGGGGGGGCCAGTGGTGGCCAATCCATGGTGGTCAGATCGGCTGAAGGCCGAGGTGGCACTCCGGGCGCGAAGACCGGAGAACCTCCCGCTCCCGCAGGACGGCGAGGATGATGACTGGGAGGAGCGAGAAGCAGCTCCGGTGAGGGATGGTCGCACTGGCACCTCTGGAAAAGGGCACGGTGAAGTGCCACAAGGAGGATCTCAGAGTGGCAGGATGTTCGTCACCCCACCTAGTCATCGTCAAGCTGAAGGCCGTGGTCAGGGACGGCGATCTGACGGAACCATGCCGATGAGCGCCACTCCGACTGAAAAGAAGTCTTTGGGAGGACAGGGCAAGGTCACCGAGGGCCCTCTTCCACCAAAAGTCACCGCCAAGGCTTCAGTTTCGGAGCCTGATCACCTCCAAAGAGCCTTTGAAGCGGAGATGGTCACCTTTTTGAGGGAGCAAAATGAGTTGTTGACGAGTGAGGTCGCTGAACTGAAACGTCAACAAACCATGCAGGGCAGCGCCACTTCTTCGTCGATCCCGTCGTCGTGGGAACGTGTGGATGGTGGGCCGGCTGGATGTGGTGGTGGGGAAAAGATCACCATGAAGTCCTTGCATGTTGAACCTCCTCAAACCCCAAGAGGGCGAAGTCCCACAAAAAGGGGCCAAAAGGATTTGTCCAAGTTCACACCAAATGGCACGCAAGTGCCACCTGGGCCGCCGCCTGGTGATGTGGATGGTGGTCTGGAGCTGCCTCCGTTT